CATTTTTCCTCATATGTTTATATACATAATCAACTGTGGTAACTATCAAACTACTTTATTGTTAAATTATTATATATATTAGTACGCTAATTTACTTATTTATCTATTTATTTATATTTTCTGTATTTTGGTACATTGTATTTGGAGACGGATTAACATAAGCCTTGGCTTGTTCCGAAACTCAACTACTGTAATGATTTTCATTCACTGTCCGATTCAGGTACAGAGATGTCATCAGATTCAGCCAACGTATTTGTTCTGGAAACACATAGGTTAACAAACGGCCTTTTTGGATTTTCTGTTCACATACCATTGTTTACTTTCGAAAGTGCAATACGCATCAAATCACACCAAGAAGGAGACATCATCAGGCTGAATTCACGCTTTACACACGCAGTTCGGAATGAAAGAGTTGACACTATTTTAATGAGAGCCAGGATGTTTTGCAGATGTGACATTCGGCTTTCATTCTTATTCATCAACACTCGCCTTCATTTTTGGGGAGTTATACCTTTTTTGAATAAGCAAAGCCTTGAAATGTGAGTTCATTTGTGTCGTCGTGTTCCGGTAAATTTGTGATATCGAAAACCGTAAACAAACTAATGATAGGACATGTGCCGATGTTGCTATCATTCAAAGGTCCAAACCATTTAATATCCTTGAGAATAGGAAATAGGATGTTACACTGATCCGTTAATGATGAACCATTCCTGTTTTGCATTTGGTCATCGTCGGATCAACGAGAAGCCTTGGACCTAGTTTTTCAGCTGTTGCGCTCAAGATCCGTTGTTGATGATTGTTATTGTAAAAGGAATGTAGCCCTTCAAGTAAAGTCCTTAAATGTCAGTGAGCCACCATGAAATGTGCCCTGTAAGACACTTGCACTTTCCAGGTGTGTCAGATCGATTTTGTAAGAAAGCTCGACCCTCAACGTCTTGAATGGTGAAGATGTCGTTTTATGGGTTATTGTGTTCGTCAAGATTTGCCGGTCCAGCCATACATAATCGGATCCTTGGACTGATTGTAGAAGTTTATTCAACTAAGTGAATATTCTGACTTATGTAAAACAAATTTCGGTTTATGCGAATTTGTAAGCAATTCGGTAGCAATTCAATAAATTATGCAGTTTGTAGTGTATTTCTACCTCTATATAGAAAAATTTTATTGCATTAAGATATACCCTCAACTTTCTGGTAAAACGTTTCACTTGTCACCGTCAAGATACAACGTGCATTAATTATTGATTGGGTGATTTTTTAAATTAAATACTAAATTATTAGAGCGTAATTGGAGAATTTGTATTGTTTAATACTACATATTATAGAATTTTTGAATGTGGATTAGATGTGCCAAATATTTCTGAAAATTCCAGGAACGTTTACACACCGATTGATCTTTCAACATAATTACCAATTACTCGAATTCGGAAACGGTATACATGTGTAAGTCGGATAATGACTTCTGAGTCGTTTTTTACGAGTTAGGAAAGCCCACGAAAGAGGAAAGCTTTTCTAACTCGATAAAAACTCGTCCGATGTCATATCTTTCGGCCTTCCCTTCAGAAGTTTCCAGACATTCAACGAAGAAACATGGAATGGTAATTAAGTAGCACAAATATTTACGTGTATTCTTAGTTCATTGTTATAACAAAACACGCATTCAATATACATATTAAAAATTAATGAAAATTGATCTTAGGTTTGCTCTAAAATTCAATGAAACCTTCAATTTGTATATGCATACTTTTTTGAATTTATTTCTTTACAATAAAACCTACTAGAAACCCACGTTGGCGTTTTACTCACGAAAGAATGTGGGGCACAGGTTGAATTCCTAGCATATAATTCCACATAACATCCATTATAGAAAATGTTATTTTTTTAAAAATCTTTTTATTTTAGAGCATCTTATTCGAGGAAAGCAGTTAGTTTGAAAATATCTTATTCATGCGAGCTTATGCTTATATTTTCGGTAATCCTACAAATCCTCATGGTTAATATACGATAGTTCAGTTGTCCTCTTTCAACCTCATATTGAAGAACAATCTGCTTTAAAATAAAATACACCCCCAAAATGTTTAACTAGATTTAAGAGTGGTCATTGTGTATATGATCTTTGTTAACTATACATACGATGTCTACTTAAACAAAAACAAGAGACATCGTTATAGAGCGACAATTGGTGGTGTTTTTGTTCATGTAGCGCGTTGTTGCATACGAATTTTACTAAAAAAATTCACGATTAAGCATTTCCAATCTAGTTCTGTTGTGATCCTTCTTTAGGGCATGTCTCCACATCCATTAGTTAAGCTTTTGTTGAAACTGCAATCTTCTAATTTTTTTCCAGAATGAACAAGTTTGACATAGACAGAGACCACAAATAGTTAATACAAAATATACTGAAAAAATCCTATGTTCGTTAATATAATGAGGACAATGTTAGTCTAGAATTAAATATTTAAATAATTTTCAATTGAAATAACAACGACATTATTTATTATTTATAATAGCCAGAATCTTTTCTTTTTTCTACTTGTGGAATCTAATTACTCAGTACATTTTGTTATAATAAATGATAAAAATAGATCAATGCTACTAGATGAATAAAGTCACCACCATACGGTGAGCGGATATTCAATATACGTGATCATCACATTTCTTCCATCACAAATCACATGCATTTATATCAATCCTAAAATTCAACTTCTGTTTCGTTAATTTACACGATCGATCAATATACGTCACTTGACCAATATTCGTCTGGATCGGATATGCACCTTCGACCAGCCAGATCAAAGGCAATAGCTTAACTAACCTTGTCATAGAAATACTTCGACTTTTTGAGAAAATATGCATATATCTATGTTTGCATATATAGTTACCAAGATATTTCCAGAAATAAGTTCCCTCAAGTCTTGATAAATATAACGAAAATATTGTTCATGTAGATACTGTCAAGGAACCAAGTCCCAAAGACTACAAACTCGTCAATTTGATTACATTTCATAAAGATTGACTCACGACAATTTGGGAGGCAAGGTAAAATTCGCCCACAGCGACTGTTAGAAACTAAAACAGTGTAAGTAACTACTAAAATACAAACACTAAATATCTTTGAACGTATTTTAGTAATAATAATATATCGAAATGCACTATACACTAAGCTTCTCAAATTAGAGAAAATGTACCCAATACATTAAAGGGATTGTAAAGAGTTTTTTTTATGTGTATTGGGGACACTGATAGTACAATTTGAACCATTCCAATTTCAACCAGATGTCTGTGGTCCCTGCAATTCTTAAACCTAGCGTCTGATGACCTCACTTATCGCAAAAATATGCGATCTCATAAAGCCTTCACGACAAGCGACGTCATAAAACGCTTAATTTTAGTGGAATTGCAGGAACCACAGACGTCTAATTGAAAATCGGAATGGTTCAAATTGATGCTATCGGTGTCCCCGATACACATCTTTTTGTAGAAAACTTCTTTACAATCCCTTAACCATATCAAAACTTCCTGAAGTATCATGTTCACAGTGCCGTTGTGTTAAGGTACATTTTATGCTACCTTAATGATGAGCTGTGAGATTGCAAATCAACCATAAAAACATGTCCACCAGATATGGTGATTTTTTGCCATAACTTCTTGACCTTTGCTGTATTTTGCCCACGTGACAACCACGCGAGTGGCCTGTCATTTAGTCGTTATCACTTTAAATGGCATTTTAAACTACTTCATAATAATATATAATAATAAATAATCACTTTAAGAAGGTTAAAAATCTAGTTTCTATTGCAATAATGAACAGAATATCAATTTTACATTACATCTATAAAAATGCTCATCCCAAGTCTCGGAAGTTCATTGTTTTCGCAAAGAGCAATATTTGAACTCATGTAACTCAACAACTATAGCTAACTTTTTATTCCACATGGGAATGATAAGTGTATTAAAGACATTCAATATACAGCAGACAAGATTTTGATTGCATCAGAGTTCTTTGGATCTTTTAGACAATACGGCCTCTATATTTGTGGTAAGTGCTGGTAACGAACCTCATTTTAGAAGTAAACGGTGGTCAATTAAACTGCGATGTTTTGTCTCCGGTAATAATTGCATTGCCGCCAATATTGTTGAGGCGACAGGCCTATTTGTTCATGGTCCATATCTACCTCTCCACAAGCCTCCAGAACTGAGCTAACCCGATGATAAATTTCCGCTGTTCTAATGTCAGTTAACATCATAACATTGACGGATTAATAAATGAAAAAAAAATAATAACATTTAAGCCATAATATTTATTTGGAAATAGCACTCATATTGCAAATAACAAAGCTTAAAAGTTTCAAACACAATAACAGTTAAAGCACTAGTAAAACAATTGTAAAATTTGGTTGATTTTGAAAACTTAGTATCTTTACTCATCGCCCATACATGTTCATTAGAGAGGTCACCTGTCTCATTCGGTCATAAGTATTCTTAAAACGAATGTAGTTAATTTCACAACATAGAAAAAAACAGTGATTCCTTAATTCAATCTATTATTTAAGGCTAAACCAAACACTAAGATCAGACTTAAATGGTTATTAAAATATATGGATTTTACAATTGAAGTTATTTTACACTTTCGTCCGCGTAATTATGCGTGGCAAGTCGTGCCATTTCACAACAGAGCGCAGAGTTAGAGCATTGTACTGACATAAGTAACGCACTGTACACGAAATGCAATGACACTATTTGTGTACTTATAGGTGAATTATTGTTTGCGCATTGTTCACCGTTAGCAGAATTCATTCTAAAGGTAAGAACAATTTTGGGAAAATTATAAAATCCTCTGTACGACATAGGACGCAGCCTCGTACCCTTGACACACAACTTCGAACGACTTCACTACTAAAAAATCCGAATAAAGAACTATATTTGGTCACGTCTAGATAAAAAGGCATCGTGAAACTCTTTGATAAAGCGCTTACTAATTTGAAGGGAAAAATTGAATATCTAGTAATGTAAGACATGAGAAGAAAATTCTAGTCTGTTTTCACATACTTTTCCACAGGCATTGCATTGCCATGGGTTATTCACATTATGTAATCCCATGTGAAGCTGATAAATTGTTCGATCTAAATATATGATTTCACAATATTGACAATAACAACTAATGCTACGAGAAGCTAACAATTCCTTTGGGATGTTAGGATTGCTTTCTAATATCGGCGACGCCTCTTCTGGTTGTTTAATAGTAGATTCATCCATTTTGCTGTGTAAAATTTGTTGCCGTCTCGCAAAATTTTGTTTAGAATATTTTCGTAGCAACCTGCGCATCTTCAGCCTGTGGTAATTTTTATATTTTCCGTGATATCTTTTTTCGGATATTCTTGGAGTTTTCATTCCACCATCCAACGACCTTGGTCGAGCATCATCGGCTTTGTTTAAGACTAAATCCATTGGTGTATCCGAATCGTCTCTTGCAAAATCTACTGCGGTGTCCGATTTTGTTTCTTCGATATCACTGGAATAGGAGCTAACCCCCGAGTGGTTATTACCAATTCTAAGGTCTTGGTGAACAGAGGGTGGTGTAATAGGAGACATGTCTTCGGGTATGTCTTTAGATGCCTGTAGTTTAGAATGTTCAGTTCTGTGATCAGCATCATTTGTAGTTAGCCCTTTAATTAGAGAGTGTGGTTCGAACGCATGCTTCGAAGAGACATGTGGATTTGTGGCTCTAGCTTCAAAGTAAGACATATTATCCGTCAGGTTTACCGCTGCCTGATGAAATGCAGCTATATTTCTCGCCGCTTGCAGTTTGTTTCCTGCCAAGGCCAAGGCATTGGCATACTCTCTCATTGTCGGTAAAGCAAGCGGTGGTAAAGGAAGTGGTTTAATTTGATTCTCTTCATTTCCGTCACCTCTTGCATGAAATAACATGTGCATAGCCAAGGAATCTTTACTATGCATAACTTCACCACAAACAGAGCAGGCTAAAGTATCACTTGTTCCTGGATGGGGTCTTGGTAACTCTTGTGATGGTCTGTAATCAAATGGTTTTCTTAGCGGCAACTTGTGTAAATCCATTGGATTCCACGCGGAATGTCCAAGAGAGGACAGAATGGCTTCAATATTCATCTTAACTCGTTCACTCTTTTCCTCTTTAAGATCAAGGTTTATTTGTGATAATGTTGCTTTCGAAAGACTGCAGTTATCATTTTTCGCTCTAAGCATCATATGCATAGCATATGTATCGCGACTATAAAAAAGTTTTTTGCAACCATCACATTTAAATGTTCCACTTGTCTGCGGCTGGGGTTGTTCTGCCTTTGGAGAAAATTGGCCTGAATATGGTGAACAGGGTAGAAATGACGCAGACTGACCCTCGCTGGAATACCGATGTGCATTAGTATGCCCGCGAAACGCTCTTGCTGATCGAAATTTAGCACTGCATATCTGACATTCATATTTCAATTCACCACCAATGTCATCACTGAAAGCTATTTTGTCACTCTCTTGTGATGTTATAGAATCGGCGCCATCTCTAGAAGCTATTCTCACAGACAAAATATCAGTATCAGACATCTTTGGTTTCTCTCTTTCTTCGTTATAAGACGACTCATTTACTGCAAATGGTCCAATCAATTGATGCCGATAGCTTTTCAAATTATCTTGATTTTCTTCATCACACCTTTCAAATGTGTCTAGGGGTTCCTTCTTTATATTGCCAAGAGTGACTGGTTCGCTAACTCCATTCATGTCTTATCCTGAAATAAGAAAAATGAATACAAAGAATTTTAAAATAATCAATAGAATTTCATATATTCTTTCAACGTTTATTGTCTGTATTGCTTCAAATAAATAATTCATATGTATAAAATCTTCATGAGCGATAAAAGCCAGAAGGATGTGTATTGAGATTAGATCTCAACTCTGTCAGCTTGGCCAAATATGGTATAAGAGGGTACTAAATAACCATTTAGTTAACAAGCTGAACAGATATTATAATAATTATCATAACTTTAGGCAGAAATCCCTTTTTGCATTTAACTACGGTAAATCTTAAATTGAATAGGTTTATTTGATCTTTTTATCGGTATAGTATTTCACAAGAATAATTTGATTAAACCCAGTTTATGAATCGGAAGCATTAAGAAATCTAAAGTGACAAATATTACGTCATTACTTATTCACAAATCACGTCAAGAGGTCTAATGCAAATTTCTCTTTAAATCAGCACAATTACATAATGGCAACCAAAAACTATATTTCAAATCTGAACCGTCTTGTTTATTGACGCGGAATAAATCCAAGGCGTGTCTAAGCTCATAAAGCCATTTTAAAATTTCAAAATGTTCTCCTCGAGCATAATTATTATTGTCGATTGTGATACAGTTTTAAGTCAACAAGTAAAGAAGAAATTAAAATATTAAAAATTAGGATTTGATTCTTGCAAACCATTCCTTTTCTTAAACTTGAATATTTTGTTTTATATCTCGACGGAAAGGTTAAGGCACTGAACTTAAATCCCTAACAATAGTTCTTTAAGTCGTATTTAGGTTCTATTGATAACCCAGTCATTAAAGATTTAAATAAAATCATTCAGCAGAAAGAGAGTATAAAATTTACATTAGTTTATGTCTGATAATTTTAATACTCTTGTTTAAAATTCATCCATAATTAACTATTCTCTGTTTTATCGAATAATACCGCTGCTGATGTGAAACAGACATAACCACTGAATTTCTTAATAACATTTCTATTATTCATAAGGTCAATTTTACCAAAGGTATGTGCGCTATAATGTCACGGGCTTTGCATTGCGAATTCTTGTAAGGAAAACATTTGGTTTTATCGTATCGGCATAAACTCTCCTTTTCTTAAATTGAATACATGACATCATTAGCGCTTAATGCTAGGTAAAATCACCATTCTAGGACAATCAATTCCTTGATCTGAAACAATACGCCTGTAAGGGTACGTTCGTTAAGAACAATACAAAGCGAGATCTTCAAGACGTTTATCGCGGTCGTGAAGCAATGTTATTCTTCAAGAACATTTGATGCCATTCTGCCACAGATTTAGTCAATAAAAAAAAACGATGGAACTATTTACACTATTGTTCCAAGGCAATTAGCTCGAGATCATACTTCTACCTTATAACTAAAAGTACACGATTACACATGCATTAAATTTAAATGAAATGAATGGAGTTTTACGTCCTACTCTTCTGCACCTTGTGGGCTAATGAAGACGGGCAACGCCATGCAGGGTGCCAGGAGGGAAATTTTGCCAGGACAGCGGCATTAGCCTGCTCTTTTTCGATTTCCAACTGTCGAGGGATCTTTAACGTGCACAGCCTGTGGCACACGGGGCCTCGGTTTATTGTCCCATCCGCACGACTAGACGCTTTTTCCATGTCAGCCCCTCCTACCTGCATCACTGACAGGGGGGAACCGGGTTGAAAAATCCGAAGGTATTATCTCGACCTATGCCGGGATTGAACCCTGGACCGTCAGGTTAGAGAGCAAGCGTCTAACTCACTGAGCCACTTGCATTAAATTTAAACGCAATTTCAATATGAAATGTGTCGATACGGTTAGTTAACGCGATATAACTTAACGAGAGATATATTTAAACGACATCTTATTTTCACTCTCATAATAAAGGGACAGGTTGGCCACCCGTTAAATCATTCGTACCTTAGTTTCAAGTAGATTTTTTTTTAACGAAGCCAATCAATAATTTTTTTCACAGCTCACCGTCCAAATTTGAGCCTTAAAATCAATGTTAGAAATTATCGGCGTCTGAAAACTTAAAATGACATTTCCGGAGGCCATATATAGAAGAGACATATTTAAAAAAAAGAAAGTGAAAATCCAAGTTTGAGGTATTTTGGCTCTAGTACTTCTGAAGACTCTTTACGTATATTTCAGATCTAAATCAACCCCTAAATAGCGAATCTGTACCATTAAATGCATTAACATTAACAATTCCAGTTGTACATAGAATTGAACAATTTATTTAAGCATAAATACATAAACATGAAATCGGGCATTCACGCAGTGTTTTCTTAGGAATTTTGCCTCGACTGAGATTGTTTCCGACTACCACACACAAAAAAATGTAAATGTATGAACATAAGAGTTTTATAGACAGAATTTTGATATTTCTTACCGAGTAAAGTAATGATCTATATTTATTAGTATTGATTGAAACAAACTATTAATTTTTAATGACAAGTCCAATGTTTTATATTCACGTTCACGTTAATGACCTATTATAAACGTACATATCAATATTGGATGAATTTATATGAAGCTTTTATTTCTTGTAGACCGTAACACGACAAAATTTCATTATTAAACCAGAATACTATTAGGCCAGATGTGTTCAAAAATTGTAATAAATATTTCTAATATATTTCATTACGATAAATATATTTGTTACACCACATCAAACATATTTGTTATTACTAAATCATTCGATTAATATATAACTATTCATTACATCTTTCTTTAACAGTACTTGCAAAATGATATTACAGACAAGATTTCATGTCATTAATATTCCAATTTAATATATTATGTATAGTATAAAAGGTTATAAATGTTCTGAACAATGTCTAATTAGTACAATTCTGTGACACACGGTGAAAAGAAACAATTTCTTACTCATAAAATCTAAAGTCATAATATTCAGCTGCGATTTATCCAAACACCGAAAATATTAGGCTTGGCAGATATATCCTATCGACCGAGAACTTTGAGAGACAATAACCTTAGTACTTTACATGTTTTACAGCCATCTAATCAGTGATCTTTATCGTGAGTAAGCATAATTCCTTCGTGAGAAGTGGCTAAAATCTCATTCATTAATTTTAACACATAAAACACCCGTTTAGTTTCAAAAACTCATAAGTTTTGATCCGTGGTCAAAAATTAAACAATCAATAACATTAGTCTTATAAATTTTCGCGACATATTTCAATTCTGGTTGAGATTTTATACCTACCCGTCATTATCAGATACTTATATTATTAAAATATAGTTAGATAACCTGTTCCTTTAGGAGTCTCACAAAAGTAAGAATTATATCCCAATAAACATCGTCGATAATGCCATAACTTTTTATCAAGAAATTGAGAATATCGTACGTCATAGTATCCTAATATATAAGACAATAAGAAGACAGTAAATTTTATCCATCAATACGAATTTCAAATGAAAGAAAAAAGTACTCATCTAAGTACTCGAGGTTTTCACGTT